TAAAAAAAAAAAAAAAAAAAAAAAAAAAAAGGAGGAGAGAGAGAATGAAAGAAAGAGAACACTACTGACTCGATTCCTTTTCTTCCCAGCTCCGACGTCCACTTTTGGCACGCCGGCTGCATCGGCCCCATGGTCGTCACCGGCGACCACATCCTCGGCCACGAGTCCGCCGGCGAGGTCGTCGCCGCCCACCCCTCCGTCACCACCCTCTCCGTCGGCGACCGCGTCGCCGTCGAGCCCAACGTCGTCTGCCACGCCTGCGAGCCCTGCCTCTCCGGCCGCTACAACGGCTGCCCCAACGTCGCCTTCCTCTCCACCCCGCCCGTCCACGGCCTGCTGCGCCGCTACGTGAACCACCCGGCCGCCTGGTGCCACCGCCTCGACGGGCTGACCTGGGAGCAAGGGGCGCTCCTCGAGCCGCTCAGCGTCGCGCTCGCCGCGCTGCAGCGCGCCGCGGGGCCGCGCCTCGGCGACCCCGTGCTGATCTGCGGCGCCGGGCCGATCGGCCTGGTCACGCTGCTGTGCTGCGCGGCGGCGGGCGCCGCGCCGCTGGTCATTACCGATCTTGACGCGGGGCGGCTCGCGTTCGCGAAGAGCGTGTGCCCGCGCGTCGTCACGCACTCGGTCCAGCCGGGGTTGAGCGCCGAGCAGGAGGGCCGGCGGATCGTGGAGGAGGCGTTTGGGGGCACGGAGCCGGCGCTGGCGATGGAGTGCACGGGGGCCGAGTCCAGCGTCGCGGCGGCGGTGTGGGCGGCGCGCTTCGGCGGCAAGGTCTTCGTGATCGGTGTTGGGCGGGATGAGATCAAGTTCCCGTTCATGCGCGCGTCGGTGCGCGAGGTGGACGTCCAGCTGCAGTACAGGTACTGCAACACGTGGCCGCGGGCCATCCGCGTGCTGCGTGACGGGGTGGTCGACCTGGCGCCGCTGGTGACGCACCGCTTCCCGCTCGAGGATGCTGTCAAGGCGTTCGAGACGGCGGCGGACCCTAAGAGCGGTGCCATCAAGGTCATGATTCAGAGCCTCGACTGAGGTGGTGGTGTGAGGCGTTGGGAAAGAAACAAGAATGTGAGAAGGGCAAGGCGTTTTTGTCCGTACGCAGACTTGACTGTATATACTTGGCCAGCAATCATCACATCCATGCCTTGATTTGACTGCATGCCGTATCGGGAATTGCAAAGCGAAATTTAGAGATAAAATCAACTCAACTCCGACAAGAGGTGTAATCAATGGTGAATGGACAAGTAGTTCGTTGGTTAGATATCTGCTGGTGTACATGGGGACACTTCTGTGAAGGCTGTATACGACCTTCTAGTGCACTTACTGAATCAATGCACAAGAATATAAAACTTTAACCAGCTATTTAAATGAGTACATATCTATTCAAATTTTGAGTCAATTGGAAATCTCGCCAGCCATTGCTTGAGAAAGCTGCTGGCCTCCCAATCAGGGCTATTTACAGCCATTCACGAGCCTGGTTGGGCTTCAAGAAAAAAACACTGCCGCAAACCCACAGTAGAGAGCGAGATTTAATAATCATTAACTGATAGCTCATCAATTTAGAGTTTTTTTTTCTTTTTCTTTTCCAAAAGCATCTTGAAATCATCAAAGCTTCCTATCTACAGCCACCACCACATGTGCTCACCACCCTCACTCCCGAAACGGCTTAGCTCCCTTCACATCCCAAGCCACCAATCAGCAGCCGGCAATCCAGGAACCGTCGGGGAGCCGCAACGACTCTTCCCGAGCTCTTTTTTTTTCTCCCTCACTCTCACCAGCCAGCCATCCAACTCATCCCCAACTCGCCATCCCGCCACCCTCTCCGAGCGCCTCTGTCGGCATCAATTGGCCCATTCATCACCGAGCCCTTTTTCGACACGAGGTTCCCCAGGTCGACTCCTCCCGCTCCGCCTGCTCTCTCCGCGACCGCCCCTTTGCCTGGCAGAACACATCACCGAAAACGATGTCTTCCTCGCTCGCCCGCCCCGTCCTCCGCGCCGCCCCGGTGCGCGTCGCCGCCCGCCG